TGGACGGTTCCCTAATTGCCGACCCAAATATCTTAACTTGGCCATTTTTTTTGTTTTTCACTTTTTTTTTAATTTTATTTTTGTTGTGTTTTGTTTGCCTTCGCCAGCTGCTGCGGCTGGCCTATTGATTTTACATAATTAACAATTGTGTGATTTGGGTACGCCAAAATAGCTCAATAATGGGCCTAGGATGACCCACGAGGCCTGTGCGTAATTATGCCCTCAACTCATTAAAGAATGGGTCAAAAAGGGCATAACAAAGTCGGGCTCAGATAATTAAAGGAAAGAGGCACAAACATCTTTGATTCTTTAGAGCAGCTGCAACAGCAACAAAAATATTAAATTACAAACAGTTCTCTCGTTTTCACTGAAGAAATAGAGCAAAGGCTATCAATAAAGGAAAAAGTATTGACAGTCAAAGAAATGTCAATAAGAAATGTCTTAAAGGTGTCAAAAGAGAAAACTGTTTATAAATATGTAAAGGCATTAAATATTTTTTATAAATTTTTATAATGTATAAAAGAATTTTTAGCAAACTATAAAAGTGAGGATTTAATTTAGCTTTACATTTTAAATATTTCAAACTTCGATTAGAACGGGTTTCGCTTTCATTTGACTGTTGGCAAGAGCCATTAGACATTTGATATAAATAGGTCGGCGTTTCATTAATCAAAGATTAGACAGCATGCCCCATATTAGTATGCAACCCAACAACAACAACAACAACTAGTAGAGAGTAGGATTAGTCTAGATATGGTTGCTGTTATCAAAACAAACGAAGGGAGTAGCAGCTTTTTTTCAATCAAGATGACGGCCCAGCTCCTCAATTTCGTTTGGTCCTTTGCTTTTTTTCTGGCCTCTGTCATTCCGGTTGGCTGGCCAAATTGGAAAGGACTTCTTTTTTTATGGCAGCTTTGCATTTTGCTTTTATTTGTTTTGTATTTTTATTTATTTTTTTGTTTTTGTTCTTGTCATATTTACTTGACGCTCGACAGCGGCGTGGAAAAATCTGTTGCTTTTGCCGGAAAAACTAATTAAACAGCTGTTGGCGCCACCAGCAGCAGAAGTTGAAGTTAAAATTGTGAGCAACGAGCCGTGGCCGAACCCTTTTTGACAGCAAATAGGTATAAAAGCGGTGTCTGGCAACTGAAAATCGCTATTGAAAATTTACATTTCCCCAACGGCCACGGCACCAGCTCAAACAGACGCGCATTGACATTTCCATCTGGCCGACTTCAGCAAACAGCTTGAACAGAAAATGCCGTAAATATTGAAGATTTTCATTTGACATTTCTGATTGATGTTTATCGAATTATTTTTAAGTTATTGTCAAATGCATTGATAACTATTGCGAAGACAATTTGTATAAGAAATCTTTGGATTTATTACGTCTCAGTAAAGGAATCACACAATACCTGGAACGGAGTTGACTGAACCTGTCTTTAAATTGTAATCATTAATATAGTAGTATTTTAGTAGTAAGACAGACCCACACGTATTTTCAAGTAATTTAAGGCCAGTCTATAGAATAGGTTAAGTTAATAGAGCAGCTGACTTATTATTGTTCCCAATTTTTTATAAATTCCTCTTTTCTCATGACGGTCGATATGTGGTAAATTGGTGCTGAAGGGAGCGTGATGAGGGTGTAATCGTTAAAGTTTGTTGTGTAGTGGTGTTTGATAGACAAGTAATTTTAACGATTTTTTAGCTTGTTTAGGTATCTAGTGCTTTAATGTGAGTTCTTCAAGGACAGTTGATATATTTAGATCTCCATGTATAGCTTGTGCAATATTCTCAAAAGTTTTTATTGAAATATTTTGCATTATGATATAGTTATTTTTAATGTAATTCCCCATAAGTTCCTATCGATTACCAATAGGAATCTCTGATTTGTCATGCTAATCATATGGTACACCATAAATATTCTCATAAATATGTCTCTGAACAAGGCGAACATCTTTTCACATCGTAATCGAGACGAAATAAACAACTGGAATTGGAATTTATACGAAGATTATCTGACTCTAACTGCGGCGCATTTATACAAATTCCATTTACTTATTTATAACAACTTGATGTACACTGATATTGTCAGTTAAGTCCAATACTTCAGACGGACGACATTAATGGCACATTAAAAACCATCTTTAACGGCACCACAAAAAAAACTCTATAATTCGCTCGTAAATGGGCACATTTTATGACAGTTTCTGTTTACGATTCAGTGGGGCATTTATATTATTTCTGTCACTTTGATACCCTACAATGATGCGTAATTGGCTGGATCCTTTGATTGCGTTGAACTGAATATTGCAAAAATTAATACTTAACTTTGGACAAAAATATAAAATAAAATCTAAAGTTAATGAAATATCGTATTTGTATGTTTCAAAATTTCTTTGTTCAGTTGAAAGCCGTCTGCAGTTTCTACAAATTATATAATATCTGGAAGTCGAGTACTCCCCACAAAGGTATTCGTACTTGTTTATGACACTCTTGACATGTGCGATTTATTATTTGAAAATTTTATAGCTTTTGGTTGTCTTGACCACGGATCTGTGTCCGGCTTCCGCCAGCACATCAATCAATGCAAAAATTAAAAGTTGATGCAAATAAAATAAATATACGAAAAATTATTTCATTTTTTGCTGTTACTTACATTTTTTTTTTTTTAATATGAATATTTAATAAGTGCATAAATATTTCAGTTATTTTTTTTTTCTCAGTATATTTTATTAACTGCGCAAGTTTTTGCCGTTTATAGTCTTTTTTTTTAAATTTGTTATGTGCAATGTCCTTCTGTCCGTCTGTCAGTTTCTCCGTATGAATGCAATCTATATCGTAACATAATGTTTTGGCATCCTCGAGCTTATTTTTTTTTTTTTTTATACCTTGTTCCCGATGGGACCAGAATTTTTTTTTTTTTATGCAATGTATAGTTTATAACTAGCTATACAACTTTGACTTTTTTTTTTTTAAAGCTGAAGGAGATATAGAGGCGTGGCATATTTCAATTTTGTTTTTTTTTTTCTATATATGTTTTCCAATTTCAATGAGATCAAAGTATGAACATTTTTTTTTTTAGTTGGTTAAGTCCGACTGCAACGCTCTTAACTGTTTTTTTTTTTTTTTTTTTTTTTTTGCAATTGTTTCAATTGCTTTTAAGCTTTCAAATACATATGTTCGCTTCATGCTCAAAATCTAATTAATTGTGAGAAAAGTTTCCTATTTTTAGATGCGTGAAATGAAAAGTTTTATGAAAATTAAATAAATTGAAAGCAAATATAAATTCTATTTGCCAGCTGCATGAACTAACATAAAATTTCAAATTCCACAATTTAATTTATACTATTATTTTTTCTTAAGAATTTTACTAGAATTATTTTCATACATTTCAATACATATATTTCTGCAGTATTTTGCTTCTGCTGGAAGTTGGCTGCGACATCATCAGGGAGTTAAAGTTAAATGCTTTTATATAGTATGTATGAGCATGAGGAGATATTCTGTATGTGTATATGTGTGAAAGCTCCTTTGAGATTGTCATTTGATTTTGTTGAGCTCACTTAGACTGTATTTGATTTTCAATGGAATTGCATAAAAATAAATCCACTTTAAGGCTATCAATCTTCAAATCTGTGGCTGACTTGAAGCACATTTCAAAGAGTCATAGATATAAATATATATATACATAGATATATACTGTCAGCTGCTGGCCAGCTGTATCTATGGCTGAGAGATGCTCGATTAATCGCGCGTCAAAGGTACAAGCAGCAAATCCACAACAAGCATTAGAATACTTAGCAACCCCCAAAAGAAAGAAAAGGCCAAAGCAACCCCCCATCAGCCATCTAGGAATCAGGAGGACAACCGAAAAGTGGGCACTGGGTTCAATGACATGAACAGAAAACATGAACAAAAAGCAACACACCACACGCACACTCACACACACACACACACTAACACACAATGTATGTATATTGGTAGTTGCTACATTTAAAATTCCGCTGTTTAGGATTTGAGTAAACGTTTTAACTTATACGCGTGCACAGTGCTTGGCTGTGGTTACGGCGGTGCCACTGGCACTGACAGTGGCTGTAGCTATGACTGTGGAGTGGTTCTGGCTTAGGACTTTCCTTAAATATTTATCGATTTGCCGTGTCGACGTCGGGATCGGGATTGGGATCGGGGCAACACTCATATATGCATATAAAGCGTGTAGCCAAATTGCACAAGTTAAGTTATTCAAATTGCACTCGTTACGTTTTAGCCATTTATGTGTGAGTGTATGCAGATAAGTGAGTACACTGAGCGAAAGCATCGAGTGCGTTATACTCTAATACAGCCTGAGCTTTGACTCTATTATTAGATTTATGTGCCAGTATATGCAGATATGCTGTAGTAGTAGTATGAGTTGAGCTTATATATTTTTACCATAATTCAGACATTTATGTATATACATATGTGTAAGCTCATGCTGATATGTCGGTACAGTGAGCACAAGTATTGAGTGTATTATACTCTAATTTAGCGTGACCTAAGATTATTATGTGTTATTAAATTTTAACTGTGTGTGCATGTGTATGCAGATATATGTAAGTGCACTGTACGCAGCTGTAAAGTACTAAGAAATTAGTATTTAGCGCGTAATTCTAGTAACCTTTACTCTCATTACATACATCATCGTAAAGTTCAATTTCGTACTCATAGAAAAAAATCTAAATATAATATGGAAAATTCATTACAAATGAATAGGCAACTAAGGATTCAATTAAACTAATTATTCAAAGATTTTATTTTGTAATATGATACATTATGATATGTATGATATACAAATAAAATATTTTATTAAACGATTTTATTTTGTAA